CGTATGATGAAGATGATGAGGATGATGATGACGGTGATGGTGATGATGATAAAGATGGGGATGATTACGATGATAGTGACGATGATGAAGATGGGGATGATAATGAAGATGGGGATGATGATGAAATGATGAAAATTGCCCGATGATGATGATGATGATGATGATGATTACAATAATAGTGACGATGATGAAGATGGGGATGATGATGAAGTGATGGAGATTGTCCAATGATGATGATGATGATGATGGTTTGATGATGACGACATAGATAAGGGTGAAGTGATGGGCGTTGCTTCTCTTGCTGCTGATGATGACGACCACGATGATGATGATGATGATGATGATAATGATGGTGATGACGATGATGATGATGATGATGACTTTGATGATGATGATGTGGTTCATCATAATGGAAGTTAGTTGACATTACGATGTGGCTGGGGTGACTCTGACGGCATTTATCACGTGAATGATGGCGCTGATGATGTTTTCAACTGGCGATTGTGTTGCTTTCATGGTTTTCAGATATAGCTGATGGTGATAAAGATGATGGTGAGGATGTTGATGGTGATGATAATGATGATGATGAAGATGATAACGATGATGATGTTGATGATGGTGACGATGATGGTAATATTGTCGGCTGATGATTTGATGGCAGTAATGTTGTTGCCGACAATAATTGAGTTGTTGATGGTGTTGCTGGCTGAAGCGATTGTCCTGTTCGGCGTTCGTTCGTTGGTGCTGCGGAGAGACCCTACATGGCAAGATTGCATGTCTTAATAACAACTGTTATATCAATATCTATCTATCTATCTATTTATATATATATATATATACATAATATATATAATTGAAGAATTATTATTATATATATATATATATATTATTGATGAAAATCACATCATGTCCGGCGTTAGTTAACTTCCAATTTAACTTTTCGATTTTTCTAATGGTTGATCGTAAATCATTTTCAAGTTTCTTGAGTTCAAAACCAAAATTTTTGTTTATTTTGATTATTTGTTTTTTTTTGAACTCTATATATATATATATACATATATATATATATGCATGTATATATTTATATGTTTGTTTAATCAAACATTATATATATATATATATATATATATATATATATATATACAGTTTTTAAGAAAATCAACCGCGTTAATACAATTATTATATTTATACATTAATTTTTCAAGTTAAAAACCAAAATTTTTGTTTATTTTGATTTTTTTTTTTTTGATTATTTGTTTTTTTTGCAACAACACAAATACTAATGTTAACAACAACAACATCATCATTGTCAATAACAACAATAACAACAGCAACAACAACAACAACAACAATCACCACGACGCTCAGGCAGCAAACAGTTTCTATATTTTCTTCCTTTTCTTCGACAATCTGCTCTTGCAATGTAACATTCCTTATCACACCAAGGACAGATTAGATCACGCCTAATTTTAACATAACGAAGTGGTGCGATTATATTAACTATCTTCGTCAATTCATCATTAAAGATATTAAATTAACAATCAATGTTGTCGCTTTGACACGGTTTAGATAAAGGAGATTTTTCCACAAGCGTTGCTAAGTCATCACCATTCATATACTTTCAAGATCTGACTAATTTTATCTTTGTCTTGTTACATAATTGTTTTATTGGTATTTGAACCAAAACCAAACCATGATCAGAGTAGACACCACTTGGTAAAACTCTACAATCTGTAGCCTGGAAATCACTAGAACTGGCAATTAAATCGAGTATACCACCAAGAACATGAGTCGGTTTATTTACATGATATGTTAATTGAAACATTTCAAAAACTTCGAGTAAACGAATGGTATTTTGATCATTAGCTCTTTCAAGATGAACATTAAAATCACCCGCTAGCAAAACATTTGAACTTAGAACAGAAATATTTTCTAATACATTTACAAGTTCTTCAAAAAACAAAGCACTAACCAATGCCGAGCCAGATCTGTATACCGTCAACAAAACAAAATCTGTTTTATTTATTATGAATCTAAGAGCAATAGCTTCAAACGTAGTCAGTAGTGGTAAACTAACTTCTTTGCATCCAAAACGAGATCTATGAAATACAATCAAACCACCATGATGAGGATCGTGGGGTCTCAAATAATCCACAAAATTAAAGCCCGATGGCATTGACAATTTAACTGAAATATTATCTGACGCCCCATGCCAAGTTTCA